GTGGGACGGATACAATGACTGGGGTGCTATTATAATATTTTCTTTTTCAATATTTACCTTTGATTGATATACATGGATATAAAGGAAGCACGACAAAAAAAAAGACAAACAACTACCACAAGAAAAAAAAAATGTCCTTTGAGTCTCCATATAACCGCAACGTGTACATTGCCAGTCTTCCGGCAAATTACACTGATGAAGAGCTCCGTGCTTTGTTCTCACCCTACGGAAAGATTCTCTCTACAGCTCTTGTGAAAGACAAGAACACGGGACTCTGTAAGGGTTACGCTTTTGTTCTTATGGAAAGATATCAAGATGCGTACAATGCTGTTATTGCTCTTCAGGGTCACAGTATTGCCAATGTTCGTGTACAAGTGCGCCTGGCTCGAGCAGAGGCGTCAGCAAAAAAAGTATATCCTCTTCTTTGTCAACAGACGATGCTGTACGATCTCGCACCACAGCCAACGCTTGTTTTTGTGTATCCGCAGCCCTATGTCATGACTCAATGAGTAAAGAACTGCAAGAATCACACCATACTTCTATTAAATATCATTTTGTTTTTATGTGATTCTTTTTTTTTTTCTTTTCATTTCCTTCTTTATATGATATTTTAAATTTTTACAAACTTACAAAATTCAACTTCTTAAGAAACAACAACCAACATACCAACATTCAACGGCTGACACAAATACTGAGTGAAAAACAAAGTCTTTGTGTAGCCGATATCTTTTTTTGATTTATTTTACGTTCTCTCTAAAGAGAGGACATAGGGAAAAAAAAAAACAGACAAAGACAGGAATAAAGGAATATATATATATATATGCGAATGGAGGAAAAATGGGTAGGGGAAAAGAAAGCCACACGTCAAATAATAACAACATAACCACATAGGATCAGAAGGAAAAGAAAGAAGTGCGTCAGAAATAGACTTTTGTGTGGCAAAAAAAAAAAAATAAAAAAAAAATGGGAAATCATTGCTCCTTTTTTCTGTTATTATTCTAGTTATTTTCATTCCTTTTTCTTTTTGTTTGATATGTTCGCTGCATATATTTATTACATTCTTGCTTTCTCTTCTTATCTTTACTTTTGCATTTGATCACAGTTCTCACACGCATGGGCCCAAACCGACAGCGTAAGGCGAGGGATTCCGTTCGCGGCAGAGGGCGGGGTGGGCGTGGGGGTGGTCGTGGTCGTGGGGTTCCATCGCAGTCGACACCGCCCGCCATGCTTTCTCGTGCCGGAAAAGAAATGATAATTGACGTCCTTCACCACGCGGCGACTAATGGGGCAGTTCCAGTTCCTGAGAAACACTTTGACCCCAACACAGGCTCCGGAATCACATTTCAACGTAACTCACCATTAACACCTTTGGAGATTTTACAAAGGCTGTACGAAGGACTCGGTTTCCCACCAGATCTCGTCACACAGTATGTGACAGATTTAGTAGAGGAGTCTAAACTGCCATCCTTTAATTCCATAACGGAATTACTTCTCGAAGACGGTCCTTATCAATCATTTTTGGTTAACAGCTGTTTTGAGCTATTCTCTTATATGCTTTGGTATAGTCGTGAAGAAGTGGAGGTAAAGGTGACAGCTGAGGAAGGCGACCTTATACTTGAAGAAGAACTTGAAACGGTACGATGTTTGTTTGAAGACAGTTTTTTGGGCGTAAAAAATTTTGATGATAATGATCTCAACGATCGGGAGCTTTTCTTTTCTTTTCGTATGGAGAGTGGAAAAGATGTGGTGGTGTCCGTTCGAATTCCAGATCACTATCCTGCTGATCCTCCTCTTATTTTTATCCAACCTCGTAGACAACAAGAGGGAGATCTTCCGCTTTTGTCTGTTCTTTCTTTAGACACAAAAGAGTTGTCTGCAGTTGCACGTCGATCTGTTTTTGATGCTGCTATTGAGGCAATAAATGGTCTCATAGGTGAAGGTTGCCTGGTAGCCTTGCTTTCTTCTATTCATGGAACTATATCATCCATTAATGATTTATCCAAGCCTACTATCTCTGTAAATTCTGTTGAAGAGCAGAAAAACGCAAGTGAAGAAAAAAATCTTATAAAGGCACAGAGAGAGGCATTTGCAGGTGTTCTAACCGCTGTTCAGGGTACTTCTTCATCTTCTGATGGAGAATCTATCTTAACATCATCTATGCCAGAGAAAGTAGAGTTTAACACAGTTAATAGCACTGATCAAGAGAAAGATCATGTGAGAATGGAATATTTGAGACGTGACAAAGAACTAGATGTTCAACTCTTGAACGAGTGGGAAACTCTCAAAAATAAAGGAACAATGAAAAATTCCAGAGAACAATTACCTGCTTTTAAAGTTCGTGAAGATCTTCGTAAAGCAATTTCAAACCATCAAATTGTTGTTATTGGAGGTGAAACAGGAAGTGGAAAGACCACACAAATACCACAATTTTTGTACGAGTTTATGTGTGAGGAGGGGAAAGGAAGTTCAGCTAATATATTGTGTACTCAACCGAGGAGACTAGCTGCAGTGTCTGTGGCTCTTCGAGTTGCTGAAGAACGTGATGAAGCAGTGGGTGGTGTTGTTGGTTATACAATTCGCCTGGAAAATTGTGTATCACGACGTACACAAATTACATACTGTACTACAGGTATCGTGTTGCGACGTCTTCAAGTGGAAAAATTTTTAGGACGAGTAAGCCATATAGTTGTAGACGAAATCCATGAACGTGGTGTAGACACAGATTTTTTGCTTATTTTGATTCGTGATCTTATTAAGCGGCGTAAAGATCTTAAAGTTGTTCTTATGAGTGCTACAATGGACTCTGAGTTATTTGCACGATATTTTGGAGGAGCCCCTGTTATTTCAATTCAAGGTCGTACTTACCCTGTGGAGGTATTTCATTTAGAGGATATTATTCCTATGGTAGGATATACCCTTGAAGATGGATCTCCATATGCTAGGTGGGATGTGAAAAAGGAGGAACGTCGTCGTAATACACGAAAGAATGCAATTAATATCAATCTTGAAGAAGTTGAGGATACGTTAGAAAAAGATTCCCAAGATCGAAATCTTGTTAACCAATTAAATGCTTCGTCTAAAACTATTGAAACAATATCTAATATGAACCTTGATATTATAAACTATGAACTTATTGAGTGTATAGTTTTATATATTGATGAAGTTATGAAAGTGGAAGGTGCAATTTTGATTTTTCTTCCTGGAATGGCAGAAATGATGCGTTGTATGGATCAGTTAAAGTTAAACCCCAAATTAAATAAAACTTGTTTAATTTATAACCTCCATAGTTCTTTGGGTTCTTCAGAGCAGCAAGGTGTATTTAGACGACCTCCAAAAGGGAAACGAAAAGTAGTTATTGGAACAAACATTATGGAGACGTCTATCACTATTGATGATGCGGTATTCGTTATTGACAGTGGTAAAGCTAAAGAAAATCGTTACGATGCGAGAAAGAGTTTATCTCAGTTAGTAACAGTAAATGTGTCAAAGGCGAACTGTCGTCAACGTCAAGGTCGTGCGGGGCGTGTAAGAGAAGGTTTTTGTTTTCGATTATTTAGTACTGCTCAATTTGAAGCACTTGAAGATCATCAACTCTGTGAAATGCATCGTGTTCCTCTTGAAAGTCTTGTTTTGCAGATTTATTCACTTAATTTGGGAGATGAAGTGGAATATCTTCAAAAAGCTCTTTCACCACCTGAGGAACGTGCAGTACGAAGTAGTGTTAAAGCCTTAACAACTATTGGTGCTTTGACACTAGATAAACGTTTAACGTCTCTTGGGCTTCACTTGGCGAACCTACCATTGGATGTGCGTATAGGAAAAATGATTATTCATGGAGCAATTTTGCATTGTGTAGATCCCGTTTTGACGATAGCAGCATGTTTAGCTATAAGAAGTCCTTTTTTATCCTCAATGGAATATCAAGTTGAGGTTGAAGGAGTTCGAAGAGCACTTGCTGGAGAGCATATGTCAGATCATTTGGTGTCATGGTTCGCATACGCCCACTGGCTTGCAACACAACATAAAGAAGGTACTGCCGCTGCAAAACAACATTGTGCTAGGTATTACCTTTCTTTAGCGACATTAAAGCAAATTCAAGATACTAAGAGACAGTATGAGCGGTATTTGTTTGAAGCTGGATTTATTGAAGAAAAACCTCAACGTTCATCACATGATCGTTTTCTTTATGATCCTGTTGTAACACTTGAAGATCGTGTTTATGAATCTGGTGGTGTACGCTTTAATGAGAATTCTGGTAGCATAAAGTGTATTCTTTCATGTATAGTTGCTGGTCTTTACCCGAATGTAGCTCGAGTTAAAACAAACACTCATAAAAAAAGTTCTGGTTCTGTTAATCTCATGACCTTTGATGGTTCTGATGTCTTGATTCATCCATCTAGTGTTCTTGGGAAGGAAAAACAGTTCACCTCCCCACTCCTTGTGTATGTGGATAAAGTAAAGACGTCTGCCACCTTTCTGCGGGATGTATCTGTGGTGTCGCCCCTTCACGTCATCCTCTTCAGCGGGGGTGAACTGGAGTACCTGCCGACCCACGGCGAGTTGGTGGTGGACTCGGCGGTCGCCTTCACGTGCCCGCAGGAGGACGCGCTGTTGCTGCGGCACCTGAAGGATCAACTCGACTCCGCCCTCCGCGTGCGGATCAACGACCCGGCGGGTGGAGCCGCGGCCGGCGCGGTGGTCCTGCGGGCGATCCTCCGCCTGCTGCGCGATGGACCCCGGGCCGCCGTCACCGTCGTGGACCCCCGCCGCCGGATCGCCGCCCGCGTCCCCCCCACCGCC